ACCTTGACTTTTGTTTGACCTTGACTTTTTTTCTATGACCTTGACTTCTTTGTTTGACCTTGGCTTTTTTGTTTGACCTTTACATTTTTGTATGACCTTGAAATTACCTTGACTTTTTTGTTTGACCTTTACATTTTTGTATGACATTGAAATGACCTTGTCCTTTTTTTTACCTCAAAATGACCTTGACCTTTTTGTATGACCTTGACATTTTTTGTATGACCTTGACTTTTGTTTGTCCTTGGAATGCCCTTGACTTTTTGTATGACCTTGACTTTTTTTTACCTTGAAATGACCTTTACTTTTTGTTTGACCTTGTAATGACCTTGGCTTTTTTTTATCTGACCTTTACTCTTTGACGCCACGCTGCACGGGAAGCTGATCGTCTACAACGACCCCCAGAAGGCCGCAATCCACCAGGGAACCAACCTGAGAGGAGAGGGGGAGGTCCATGGCCCCGCCACCCGGTTCTGGTCCAGTTTGGCCTAGTTCTAACCTGGTACTTGCTCGGTTCTGTCCCAGTTCTAGCCTGGTCTGTCCCAGTTCTGGCTCGGTTCTAGTCTGGTTCTGGCTCGGTTCCAGCCTGGTTCTATCCTGGTTCTGGCTTGGTTCTGTCGTGAAATATCCTTTCAACGACTTGTCGAATTATTCTAAGTCTTGCAAAAATACTAAGTCCTTGAAGGAGAAGCTGAAAAATTATTCTAAGTCCAGAAGGAGAAAAATGATCCTAAGTCCAGAAGGAGAAAAATGATCCTAAGTCCAAAAGAAGAAAAATCCTAAGTCCAAAAGAACAAGCAGAGGCCGCTAGATCCAGGTCCAAGTGGTTTATTGCAGCAAATACAATCCAACTACGTGAGCTGTTAGCCGGCTAACAACTGATTTTCTTGGGACGAACACCTGCTTTTAAACCTTCTGATCTTGGGGGCTCCACCCTGAGCCCCTCCTCTATCAGAGCTCCTCCCTGAGCCCCTCCTCTATCAGGGCTCCTCCCTGAGCCCCTCCTTTATGACGTTGTTCCCTCACCCTCTACGGGGCACCATCTCTGAGCATTCCGTTAGTCTTCTCAGTAGAGGCACTGGTGCTGGCCTCAGCTGCCTGTTCCCTCCATGCCTCACACCTGGCCTGTGCTTTGGCCCTTTATCTCTGTTTTGCCGTTCTGAAAGCCTTTATTATGTTGTTATCCTCTGAACCATGGTTTCTTCCTTTTATATATTTATATATATATATATATCCCAGCTACATGTTACTTCTATTTTTCTTTTAGATATATATATATATATTAATGCACTTACTACTAATTCTTTTGTGATAATATATTCACTGTAGAATATTAATCCACTACAGTTCTAGCCTGGTTCTGGCCCTCCACGGTTCTGACCCACAGCTCTCCCTCTCCCCGCAGGTCTGTGCTTCAAGCTGTTCTACGTGAGTCCGGACCGGAGCTCCGGGCCGGTGGGTGGGGCAGTGGGTCGGGACCATGCTGCCCATGCTGTACCTGGGAATCACCTCCCACCTGCAGATGAGCCACAAGAGAGACCCCACAGGCTACTTCTGAGGGCCTGCAGAACCGGATCAGAACCGGGCCAGACCTCTGAGTCCTGCTGGGACCACAAGCTGCTCTGTTTTCTGAATAAATGGTTTAAATCATCCTGGGTTTTGTGCTTTCTGGGTTCTTTAAAACGTGGGGGTGGGCTGGACCTTCTGGGCCATCTGGACCTTTTGGACCTTCTGGACCCTCTGGAAACTCATCTTTCCAGCAAAACCAGCCTCGGGACTCACATCCGAACTGAATATCTGCCTCTGCTCCATCAAAGGCTGCTGCAGTCTTGGTGTCCTGATTGAGGACCAGCTGAGGGTAAAGACCACCGGTCCTCTGCTGCTGGACAGCGTTGCTTCTTATCACTAACAGAAAGACCACCTCAAAGCGTCCGAGAAGAGGTGTCCTCCTCCCAGTCTGAGATACTGACCAGGAGAATATGGGTGTGATCCCCATGATGACGTAGAGATCCGTTCTGTACGGCTGGGATGATGAAGGTGAGTCTGGACCCTGCTGATCCTGGTTCTGGACCACGTTTCAGAGGCGGTCTGTGTCTAACGGGAGGCTCCGGTCAGAGCAGTGGGCAGCAGCTGTCACCCATGGGCTCAGAGGTCAGGGCTCTGGACCACTGGAGGGGAACCAGGCTGGAGGCTTGGCCTGGGAGGTGTTACAGCACTCTCTATCGTGTTTCACTTTGGTTAGGGTTAAGGTTAGAACAAACCTTCCCTAACCATAAGATGAGGTCAAAGTTCAGAAATGGAAGGTTGAGGGAAAGAGAACAAAGGGAAAATTAGGAAAAAATTAAAATATTTTGTTTAGAAAATAAAGGGAAATTAGAGGGAGGGGCTACAGTAAAAGGGAATTCTAAATTAGGGGTCTAAAATAATCAAAATTAATTACAACTAGGGGAAAGTAAGTTACGTTACGTAAGAGCGGGAAACAGAGTGGGAGGAGCCTGCTGGGTGGGCTAACCCTAACCCTAACCCTGGGTGGGCGGTTCCCAGCAGCAGAGTAGCACAGGGAGACAGTTTGTTTTCCACCGTGCTGAGAGCTTCTGTAGAAGGCATCAGAACGCCGAAACGTTACGCCGTGGCACGGAATTTCCTTTCCTTGATTTTAGCTTGTTATTTTGGGCATCATTTTATTATTAGGGGCAGCACGGTGGTGGGGTGGTTAGCACTGTCGCCACCCAGCAAGAGGGTTCTGGGTTTGAATCCCGGGGGAACCAGGACCTTTCTGGGTGGAGTTAGCATGTTGTCCCTGTGTCTGTGGGTTCTCTCTGGGTTCTCCGGCTTCCTCCCAAAGTCCAAAAACCTGCATGTTAGGTTGATTGGAGATTGGGGAAATTGCCCTTAGGAGTGAATGTGAGTATGTGTGGTTGTTGGTCCTTGTGTGTCTCTGTGTGGCCCTGTGATGGACTGGCGGACTGTCCAGGGTGTACCCTGCCTCTCGCCCGTTGACCACTGGGATACGCTCCAGTTCCCCCCGCGACCCCATCAGGGTTGGACTCAGGTTTTTGGACTCTCCCTCCGGGGAGAGGCAGCTTCATTTCCTTCACCTAACCCTAACCCCTAACCCTGTCTCCCCCTTCACGGGGGGAGGCAGCTCTGTGATTAACCTAACCCTAACCCGTTACGGACGACGTCGCCTCCGCCAAGCCCCAAGGGACCGTCCACCGAGGGGGCCGGCCTGGATGGGCCCGCGCACGTTCCCCCGCCTACAGGCGGAGGCCTCCCTCTAACTACCCTAACCCTAACCCTATGGCCCGTGCATTTCTGTCTCCCCCTTCACGGGGGGAGGCAGCTTCTGTGATTAAACTAACCCTAACCCTAACCCTAACCCTCTTAGGTCCATTTTATTCTCTTATTTGTATCTTATACTTTCTGATATTGTTTTTTAACCTTTTTTATTTTCTCTTAACAGACCAAACCCTGATGGACCTAGGGGCTCCTACCTTTTAACTGATTTTTAACAGCGTAACACGGTGGGAGTAATACCATTCTTCTCTTAGAAACCGGATGCCAGGTCCGGATGGAGAGTGTAGGGGTCACGCTGACTGCGTCAGCGCGACCCAATCCCCTTTTTCCTAACCCTAACCCAAACCCTAAACCTAACCCTAACCCATCCCCTCTTTCCTAAACCCAGTCCCGCCTTCTATCTTATCTCTAAACCCAATTAAAACGCAACAATTCATCGTAATTTCATAATTTTATTTAATTTTTCATAAAAAACAAAATCTAAAAAAAAAAATTCATGAAAAGTTGAAAATGTTTAAAAAAAAATAATAATCTATTTACAATGCCTTAAAAAGTTAAAATTTCATTATTTAAAACAAGTATTTTCATTTATTTACATTTCATAATAATTGAATTAAAGTAAAAATAATTTTTTTTCATACATTTAAAATATAAAAGTTCATTTAAATATATAAAAAGCATAAAAAAATTTAAAAAAATGTTAATTTACTTACCTTCACAAAGTTCCGTAACGTAACATGCTTTTACTTACCTCCTATGTTAAAAACCGGAGTTTCCCTCCGAAACTTGGGGGCGGAGCCCAGAGCCTATATAAGCAGACTCCCTCCCTCAGGCTCTCAGACCAGCAGCTGCAGCCGAAGAGAGCAGACCTTTTTCGTGTGCCCAGGACCTGAAGAAGCCCGTAGAAGGACGAAACGTCGTCCGATCCGGCACACGTACGAACCATTTAATTACATTGACCTGCATTACGAATTTTTTTTCAAAAAATTAATCTTTTATTTTTTTTCTTTTTTCTAAAAATTAAAAAAACAAAAAAACTTAAATTGAAAAAAACATAAAACTCTAATAAAGACAAAAGACATACTTACCTTTTCGTTTCCGTCAACTTACCCGTTTTGAAAGCCTTCTTTTTGTTGTTGGACGCACTGTAAAAAATTTAAAAGATAAATTATTTTCAAATTTCATTTAAAATAAATAAAAAAAAAATTCAAATTTAAAAAATGGCAGGACCGCCAGCCCCAACGGGGCCCTCCACCGGGTGAGCCAAGCCGGATGGCCCGTGCCAGACCCCCCCGTTTTTCGGCGGGGGCCTCAGTCCTTCATCCTAACCCTTTTGTGAGGGGACCCAGCATAGGTGGCAGTCGACTCCGACATGTCCACCCCTATACGAACCCTAACCCTAACCCCCCACCCTAACCCCTAACCCTACTTCCACCTTGATCCGCCGAATCAGATGGACTCTTTGGTTGTGTCTTCAGAAGACACGTAAGCCTCCACGCCACGTCAAGGCAGAGTCCTTGTGGAGGTTTTTTTAATGTTTTTTTTGTTGTTTTTTTTTTACAGTTTTTTAAAATTTTTTCAATGTTTTTTTTAATAAGCTTCAAACTGAAGCAACAACACACTATTCAAACTTACAACTATTTTAAGAAACACAAACTATTTACCAAAAAATATCTTCTATGAAACAAACAAAATACTACCCTAAACTACAATATCTAAGTACTGAAAGAAACACACCATACCTGATGGTGTAACCAAAAAAGCGTAACACCTCAATCCTCATTGTTCATGAGCCGCGTTCTTTTCTGTCGGAATGCATTCCGTGTCCGTACAGGTATATCTTCTTCATGGCATTTGTGGACATACATGTTATATGCATCTTTGGAGGACACACTTTTGTCAATGGTTATGTTTTCCTCCTTAGCAGCACTCCATGATTGCCACCCTCCAGCTGGAAGTGTGCGAGGTTTAGACCTAGACATTGGTTGCATGGCATCTTGATCTTCAACCTCCAACACATCCTCAAATGGCTGCTCGTGCACAGCCTCCTCTCGCACTTTGAAAGGCTTTGGCTTCACAGCCACTTGAACTCTGTAAGGAAAGTCTTCCTTCAACTTCCACACGATAAAGTTAGGGTTAGGGTTAGGGTTAGGGGTTAGGGGTTAGGGTTAGGGTTAGGGTTAGTTGTAAAACAGAGCAGCCCCCCCACTAGGAGGGGGCTGAAGTGCACGGGCCATCCTACTTTTGGCCAGGGGGCCCTTTGTCGGTCATTTCGCCTTTGTTATATAATTTATAAATATGTTTTTTTTACCTTCATCTTTCCCTTACTTTCCTCTTGGTCTGTTCTTCCTTTTCGGGTTTACTTTTCCCTTTCTTGGGTTTCTCCTATTTTGGGCTTCTTTTTGCTTTTTATTTGACGACGTTTCGGCTTCTTTTAGCCTTCCTCAGGTCATTTTGTGTTTCTTTCTATGGTCTTTGTGTCCCCTTTTATTCTCTTTGTTTTTCTAGCTTCTTGCTTTTCTGTTGTAGCTTCTTTGCTTTCGGTCTGGCACCCCCTGTTCTATCCTGTTCGTCCTTGTATGTGGGTTAGGGTTAGGGTTAGGGTTAGGGTCAGGGTCAGGGTCAGGGTCAGGGTCAGGGTCAGGGTTAGGGGTTAGGGGTTAGGGTTAGGGTTAGGGGTTAGGGGTTAGGGTTAGGGTTAGGGTTAAGGGTTAGGGTTAGGGTTAGGGTTAGGGTTAAGGGTTAAGGGTTAGGGTTAGGGTTAGGGTTAGGGGTTAGGGGTTAGGGTTAGGGTTAGGGGTTAGGGTTAGGGTTAGGGTTAGGGAACAAGGTTTGAGTCGTGCTGACGAAGTCAGCACGACTCATGCACACTCCATCCGGACCCGGCTTCCTGTTACAAAAATAAGAGCGTTGTTAGTATCTCCAGCCGTGATTTGTCATAAAAAATGGTTTAAAAAGAGTAAGAGCTCCATGGGTGGGAAGTCCGCCAGGGGTCCAAAGGAAAGGGAATTAAAAGATAAATAAATAAATATATAAATACCTAAAAGGAAATGATAAAAGAAAGGGGGGGTTTTAAGACGGTGTGATAATAAATAAATACAAGTAAAATGATAAGATATGATTAAAAAGGGCCTCAAAAACTCCCCGAAGGGGTCATGAAGGCCGTTCGGAAAAATAAAATGGTTAAGAATATAAATAAATGGATAAGAAGTGTGAATTATAATAAGATTATCTAAAAGTGGGGAACCCTCTTTCATTTAGACCGCAAGGGAAGGTTGTGTCCAGTTTTTTAATCCAGAGTCGTTCTCTGTATTTCCTTTCCCTTGCGGTCCAAAAGGGGTTCCCCTCTAAAATGGAGACCCTGACGGAATCCCACCCGTGTAATAAAAAGTGTCGGACCAGTTGTCTGTCTGTGTTTTTTTGTTTGAGGATGTTCTGTTTGTGTGAATAAAATCTGGCCCGGACACTGCGTCCTGTCTCCCCCACATATTTGATTTTGCACCTGTCACAGATGATTACATAAATGCAGTTTGATGTATCGATATTTCCATATGCGGGAGTTTGATGCACCTCACCCGTCCGGTCGTTCCTTATCCACCTCAGCTGCTTAAAATAATTGTGGTCCAGGTCCCGTCTGTTGGGGTATTTCTGGGGGAGGGTAGCTCTCACCAGGAGGTCTTTCAGGTTTTTATTCTTTCTGTAGGCGGAGATTACTTTGGTCTGGTTAAATGTTTCATCTCCGCCTAGCCTGGACTGGTAGTTTGTTTTAATAAAATAGGTAAAATTGGCAGCCGAGGTGGAATAGGTACATACTAGGGGGATGATGGAGGGTGGGCGGTCCTTGACTGTTAAGAACATCTTAAAACACGCTCGTAAAAAGGAGCGGGTGTAACCACGCCCCTTGAGGGCCATAAAAAGCGTATCAGTCGCTTGTTTAAAATCTTCCACCCGAGTGCAAATCCTATAAAAACGTAAAAGCTGTGATTTAATAAGACCCTTAAAAGTGTGTTTTGGGTGGAAGCTAGATTTGTCTAAAAGAGCGTGTGTGTCAGTGTCCTTAAAATAGACTTTAGTGTCCAGTCGGTTGTTGCTGCTAAAAAGAGGGCCCTTAAAAACAGTTGTGTCTAAAAAATTGACCGACTGGACACTGGTGGTCTTTTGTAATTTGATAGAGGGGTTGTGATTGTTAAGGACATTAAAAAATGCATCAAACTCCCACATACTGCCCTCCCAAATACCCCAGATATCATCTAGATATCTGAGGTAGTGGGAGGGCTTCTTACTGCACTTCAGGAGGGCCTCCCCCTCCCATCTGGCCATGAAGATGTCTGCGTAGGCGGGGGCGAACTTCTTGCCCATGGCCGTCCCCTTCACCTGGAGGTACACCTGTTGATCAAAAATAAAATCATTTTTCTTGAGATTGATGGAGAGAAGCTGCAGCAATTCCTTGTCCGGCCTCTTGGAGTCCGGATATCTGCTAAAAATGTCTTCAATAGCCTCAATCCCCTCATCAATCTCGATGTTGGTGTAGAGGCTCTCAACATCAATTGTAAATAAAATACAGTCTTTTGTTGTCTGCAATTGGTGCACTTTGGAGATAAAATCATAGGTGTCCTTCACGTAGCTCGGGTGTTTTTTAGCCAGCGGGTTAATATAAAAGTCAATGTACTCCGCTGACCTGTACGACTCGCTTCCGCAATCGGACACTATGGGTCTCCCTGGAGGAATTAAAAAGGGCTTACTCCATTTTGTGGGGTCTTTGTGGACTTTGGGGAGGAGGTAAAACCTTCTAGCCCTGGGTTCTTCTTCCCCTAAAAGGTATTTTCTCTGTTTGAGAGAAATAAAACCTTTTTGAAATAAAAGATTAAAAATGGCCGTGATTTCCTTAAAAGTGTCTGTGAAAAGGGGTCTGGTAAGTTTATTGTAATAATTTGTATTTTGTAACTGTCTATGTCCTTCCCAGATGTATTGGTCCCGGTCCATAATAACAGTGATGCTCCCTTTGTCTGCTGGTTTGATAATTATGTCCGGGTTATGGATTAATTCCTTCAAAGCCTCGCTCTCCTCCGGTGTTATGTTTGAGGTTATAGGTCGGATCTGGAGTTCCCTGTCTAGGAACTCCAGATCCGACCGAATACAGTCCGTGAGGAAACGAGGCAGGGTCCCCTCAGGGGGGAACCATGTAGATGCAGGGTGAAAGGGATGTCTGGGTTTATCCGGTTTGTTTCTGAAGTGCCACATTAGTTTCAGGCGTCTGTGGTACTGCTGGAGGTCAATTCTGAGTTTCTGTTTGATATTGTGATTACAGTTAAAATTTGGAATGAAGTTTAGGCCTTTGTTTAAAATGGATAATTGTGCTGAGGTTAAAATAGTTTTTTTAGCCAAGACCAGGACGTTTGTGAACCCCTCCTGTCGGATCGGGCTTATGGGGACTTCTAGTTTACCCGATCTACCCAGTGCTGTAACATCAGCTGGGCAGTCCCGGGGGTCCAGTGAATGTGGTCCGTTCCTGTGTTGAAATTTGTGCTGGGTAAAATAGGGATGAAGTCGTAGTGATTAATGATAATGTTATTAATGGCTGTTAAAATGTGCCTTTGTTGTAGCGATAGGCGGGTGGAAAAGTTAATGACGGGGATGTAAACCGCCGAGTGCGGAAACTTCTTCCGGACGGCCCCCACAGCCTCTTCCATCTCCCTCTTAATGGGGGAGATGAATTTTCGATCCCTGTAGTTAATTCCCAGGGAGAGGATGATGGAGTCCACCTTCGTCTCGGATCTCGTTCTTTCCATCAGTGCCGCCAGGTGCCGGAACGTAGCTCCAGGGAAGGAGTCAATCTGCGTTTCCGGCACCTGGAATGGCGGGATCCGAGACAGGTTGGAGTCTCCCAGGATGACGTGCTTCATCCGGACGCAGAGAGACCAGTCCTCGGTCTTTCTCTGCGTCCGGATGTGCCTGGTGACGCTAAGGGAGACTCCATCTCCCCTGGGGGCGTCCCCGTCCTGCTGAGGCGCGTCCCCGCTCTGCTCCAGCGCGTCTCCGCCACGGCCCGGCGCGCTGCTGCTCTGCTCCGGCGTGCTGTTGTGCTCGGGTGCGCTGCTCCGCTCGGGCGCTGTCCGTGGTGCTGATGGTGCTGCTGCAGGCGCGCCTCTGCTGTCCTCCTCTGTCCGCGGCTCCGCGGGGCGCGCGCCGTCACTGCCACCAGCTGCCTGCTGTTCTCGCGTTGGGGGGGCCCTCCCAGCATTCTGGGTCGAGTCCCCCGCTGCTCCGGAGTCCTGGGAAAGATTCCTAAATCCCACAGGTTTTAAATTAAAGTGCAGGAACTTTCTTTTTGTGCCCTCCTTTCTCAGGACAACGGGAGCGAGCTCCGCCGTTCCGGTCCCAGAGAAGGCCATTCCTGTCTCCAGTAATCCTGCCTCGAGCCTTGCAAAGTCCGTTCTGATGGGAGCGGAGGGGTTCATTGGTGGGAGTGGCGTCAGTTCCGGGCTCTGGGCCGACTCCGTCCTCACCCTTTTTCTTTGCGGCTGGGGCTCTGCAGTCCTGGTGCATGGAGGGTTAACAGCATCCAGGAGGGTGGAGGGACCCTCCAACGGGTCCTGTGTCAGGTGCAGGGGGCCGGGTGAGACTCTCCTGCTCCGCTCCGGCCGCACCCGCACCGAGGTGAGTCTCTGAGGCTGGGGAGGTGGCGTCACTCCCTGGCCACGCCCACTAAGGGTTTCCCCCGTTCTGCGTGTTCCCGCAGTGGGATCTGGGGCAGTGGGAGCTGGAGCTGTGTCCATTGTGTGTGGCAAATTGTCTGTGATGAAGGCCTGGGCCTGGCGTACAGTTTCTGACTGGAGTCTGGTGCCCAGCCTTCGTCTGGCCCAGACCGCCGCGATCTGGAACGGGTCCAGCCACCCGAACCGAGGCATGTCTGCCAGTTGTTGAATTAAAAAAGTCAGTGAGTCCTCATAATGTTGTTTCAGAATGTGCAGAGTGTTTAATTCCCAGTATCTGGCATTACCCTCCAACAATAAAAGAGTTCGTTCGGTGGGTGCCGCGGGTTTAATAAAACGAGCCAGGGTCTGCGTCATTTTGAAGATGGTCGGTGGCGCCTCCGCCCCGCCAACATTAGTGGAGTGGTGGACCGCTTTTATAATATTGTGGATAATCCTTACTTTATCCGTGAAGTGGGGGTCCTCCGACTGGATCACGGGGTGTGTTACCCCGCTTCTTTCCTCCTGTGAGCGATCATAATTGTTTCGGTGAGAGGAGACCCGGTTCCGAAACCGTCCGGGTCTCGTTTGGCCTCGGCTCCGGCTCCGCCGCTCCCCCCAGCGTCGTCCCTCGTCCTGCAGGCGCGCGGGTGGGATACGGCGGTGGCCGGCTGCCATTTCTGCATACGTGGGTTCGTTCTGGCTCTGGATCCGCGGGGTCTCCACGCCGAACCGGGTCCTGTTCGGTCTGCGGGTCCACGGGGTCTCTCTGCCGAACGAAGCCTCACGTTGCTCCCTTTGGTGGATCCTGCGGCC